ATCTGTCTGACACTGAAAATCCGTTGTATTGTAAAATTCGTTATATCAAAATTCGTTGTAGAAAGAGTTGACTGTATCTTGATTAACTTTTCAGTAGCAAATTGCTCAAATTGAAGTTAGAGACTAAAAAATATTGATTGAAAGTAAGAGTAATTTAAAATTGAAGAAAATTTTATCTAAATACTCTTTATAGATTAAAATTTTTGGTTAATGCAAACATTTTGATATTTGTTTTATTTATTATAAAAATGTCTAATATAAATTTTTTTTATAAAATTTTTTGAATTGCTAAAATTAATAATTAAATTCTGCAACAATTAAAAGATTGTTTAATTAAACTTAGTTTAAATAAATTCTATACAACTTTCACTTATTTAACAAATAGTGAGTATAATGATTGTTTAATATGTTCTAAGGGAGTTAATTCATGATTGTTATCATTCAACAATTATAAAGTATACAGATCCTTGTTTTAAAACTCTTATTAATACTAATATCTAATAGTTGAACTTTAGGTATTAATCACTAGGAATTACAGCTAAGTTTGTATTATTTATGGGAAATTAAAGTTTAACTGGATTTACTCTGAAAAAAGTATCCAGGCATAGTTTTTTATGAATTGTGGCTTAAGTTTATATGATATAAAAATAAATATTAATTATCATAGAGTAAAAAAGAGTTCTATTTATTTTCCTATTCGAAACCTGTATTATTGTAATACATATTTTTTTATGCTTCTTTATTTTATTTTTGAATCAAATACCCATAAAGTCCTGACTGATGATCATTAAAACACTTGCAATCTTTATTCTTTTTTGTTTATGATTAACTAACAAGAATTGTTCATGAATTTAAGGGTAGAGAGTATCATATGATAATTTCATATTGATTTAGCGTGGCAAGTTTTTTATCATGTAATAGCGTAATTTTCTGTATAATATAAACATTTGTAATACATAACATACAGGGATAAAATTAATACTTTTGATTAATTTATATAATAAGTTTTTTTTTTAGAAATAACATAAATTTAATTTATAAGTATAAATAATAAAACATCTTTATAATAACAATATATTATTCCAACGAGTGACGTTATTTATTGTAACTTTTGGCCTTGATAAACAAAACAAATTAGCAAATCTAAGATCTTGATAAATAATCAGATTATACAATTTATGCTTGCTTGTATTCTCTTAGAATCTTCAAGTGTCGATATATATGAGTATATATAGAATTTATTAAGAAAACTTTTTAAACGAAGAACACATATAGAAATTATTCTTACCACAGGAACGCTGGTACATGGAATCATGCCAATTTCTGTAATTACAGTTGTAATATACTTTGAAGGAGTCAGATCATACAACAAATTTAAAAGTTTTAAATCCGGTTTATGAAGCCATCCATCCAACAATCCAATCTTTGGAGTTGAAGTTGTAGAAATATTTACCATTTCATCGGGATTTCCTAGAAATGATATAAAATTACAACTCAGGAAAAAAATATTTGGAAAATAGCATTAGTATAAAGTTCAAATTTTCCTCATTTCTTTCATATTACCTTGTTCATTCATAACGAATGAATCTAGTTGAACCCTTTCCGTGAACTTATATGTCTCACAACATACGATTACAGGAATATTTTTTTCCTTTGCCATCATTGCTACCATCGCGGTACCAACACGCGAATAAAGCGCGCCATTTGACATGAAAGCATGTGCACCCAGAAAAACTTTTGAAACATCCTTTAACGCAAACCCAACTGCATGAAGAAAGGCATATGTACAACTAATTCCAGCATCTACAAGGCGCTTTAAAAGTCTTTTACCTTGAAATTTACGGTGAAAAGTTATTAAATGCATAATGTTTTTAATAAAAATAGCGAGATGATAAAATTATTAAATTTGAATCCACATTCCGCCGACCATGTTTAATAATCTATATAAGGTATACTATTAATTTCGGAATCCAGAAATGTCCTCAAAGAAAATTGCAGAAAGAAACTATAAAATATACTTTATATAATAATAATACATTAATGAAATTTGGTTAATAAATACAAAATTTTCATTAGTATGATATGATTGAAATTACCATTTTATTAGAAAAACTGTGAATCAATTATAGATTTGCTAAACATGATCGGCGGATTACGAATTAATTACCTTCAAGTCTGGGTCTTGAATCCACAACGATGACTTTGAATCGTATCCCTTTTGCTCGTGCTTCTAATAACAATGCCTGTACAACCGATGATCTTAATATTTGCAATTTCTTTTTAGAACTGGCTACCAGTATATGAATTAAAAAAGTTATATAAGAAATTAAATGCACCTAGCATATGTTAATATCACATCATCATCCTGTATTTTCTGTAAACCATAATCAACTATAACACGATCTGCAAACGTAATACGATCGCGAATAAAGTTGTCAATTTTTTCACATAATAAACGCTTTGCCTAGTAAGTTAAAAAAAAATCGTTACTTTAATAATGAATAATTTCAAGAATTACGCGATTTAAATTAATATCTTTAGAATGGCATACATCATCATCCGCTAAATCAATATCCATCGTAGATATCTCCAATTTAAGATGACGAATTGCGTTACCCATGCCAACTGACATAGGTCTTGAATTTACCAGATATTTTATCTGAGGAGATAGATGAGTGGGCAAATGACGGGACAAAGTTGTCCCTTCCGGTGTTTTGTAATCTTGAATTACCTGTGAAAAGAGATTAAATAAGTCAAGAATTTTCTTATTAGATGCTGCCACTAGTTTTAACATAAGTTACGACATTCAATTTGGTAATTTATCAAACCTTCTTAAAAGCTGTTAGAGTAGCAATACAGCGGGCATTGGCTCCACAAATTTTAAATTCGGCAATTTGTAATCCTATAACTAAAACTGCGGGATGAATATCTAAACTTGTATTAGCACCTTTTGCGATTTCTAAATGAGAGAACAGTGCAACCTGTTTATTGCTTTCTTTCTTTAATTCTTTTTGCTGTTTTTCTTTATGCTTAGAATCACTAGGTGTAAATGAAAATTCCTGATGTGCAAAACCAGAATCGGCAGTGGAACCTACTACAACACTGGTAGCAGAACCTTGCGAGCCCTTCTTTGTAGTCGTCCCTCCAGCGGCGCGTGCAGCTTTTTCTGCGCGCTGACGCTCCTGAACTGCCCGACGTTCTGCCTTTGTCATTTCTTTCATTTCTTTCGCAGATTTTTTTTCCATTTTCTTGATACAGCTAATTTCAAAAGTAACAAAGCCTAGATATCCGAGAATGTTTATTATAAAGATTGGGAATATTCGTTCTTATATTTTTGATCGATCGGCAGTCCCGAAAATTTTTTTTTTTTTGTGTATGGTGGGAAAGTAACGGTTAATTAAGATTTCGGTTAATTAATTGGTTAATATAAAATTTTATTATCGCAATATTATTAGAAATAATTTATTCATCGCAGACGTCACCCGTGTTACACTGGGGCGTTCCATCAACTATGTAAATCAAAACATTGTTAAGTATTATATAAAAATTTACTATTAGAGATTTTTTGTGAAGCATACATGTCGAACCTAATTAATTGCTACTATTATTACGATTTTCCTAATAAAAAATTCTAAATCTTTAACGTTTAATTCTTCGGTATATGTTAGCATTCAGAAAAAAAAACTGTAAATGAATAATTTATAACCTAAAAAAAAATGTGACACCTCGCTTTCTTGGAAAAACAACAAAGAAAAAAATTTTTATTTCTTGAAACGTAAATAATATTTTTTTTTTAGAAAAAGCGAGTTGCTACATGAAAGAGACAATAATTTAGAATGTTTTTGTAAAATTTGGAGCGAAGATATTAAGAAGAATCTAAAGTTATTAAAGTCTAAAATTTATAGATTTTAGTGAGAAGATTATTATAAAGCAAATTTAACTATCAGATTTACAAAAAAAATTCTAATAGTAAATATTTATATGATATTTAACAATGTTTTAGTTGATGGAACACCCCAGTGTCACACCCTCCCTTTTTCATTTTGTATATATTCTGGGTACCCTATTTGTCACCTAGGTTAGTATCACATGGATTAGGATTAGGGTAGGGTAGGTTAGGTAAGGGATATATATAAAAGGCGATGTATAAGGAGTATCGTCCCCCTGCAATGAATAAATTTACTCTTTTAAATTAATACTCTAATAATTTTAATTTATTTTGATCATTAAAAAATATCTAAAAATTATAATTAAAAATAAAATAAAGCTTAATATATAAGTTATTATATTAAACATCAGATATTTTTTTTTTTTTTTGGATATTACTAACATAAATTTATATTAGACAAATATCTCAATCCTAAAAAGTATTAAGATTAAATCATTTTGAATAAATGTCAAAAAAGTAAGATAAGTATAATTAGATTTATAATTTGCTATAGTAAGTTTAGATAGTTACCGATCTGCTCTATATGTAAGAAAAGCATTCATTCAGAGTAAGCAACCCCAAATTAATAATATTATTAAAACTTCGTCCCTCGTAAGTTTCGGTTCCGAAATTTTAATGCGGTAAAAAGAAAAAATATCTTAATGCATGCAGGATAAACATTGAATATTAAACTTGAGCTTTCCAGATTTTCCTTATCCAAGATATTACACGTCCAATCGAGTTGCTCTTCTTTAATTTTTGATTTAATTGTTTTAAGTGTCAAGTCAACATACTAAAGTTGTTCAAGACAGATTTGGTCCTTCAATTCACTCTTCATCTGATTACTTTTAATATTGTGAGGGAATGTTATAATCATCGAAAATACACCACTTGTTCCTAATCAAGTCCCCTCAAAAAACTTGAGAATTTCTCATTCTTAATAACTTATTATAGAGAACATGGATAAGTCGCAAACCTTTCCTAATAGTACAGTCAACTCTAAATGCTCCCCCTTGGGACCATAGTGAAAATTTTAAAAAAATGTGCATTTAAGAAATTTTTTATATGATTACTATACGTGCATTTAGAGAGGACTGTATACAGCAAAGTACACATCTTAAATTGGTTGAATTTATGATAACTTTGCTTACATAAGAAATATTCAAGATCTTTGATTACAAAGATCTGACCAATCAACTAATCAACCAAAACCAAAAACGATGAAAAAAACCAAAACCCTATAAAGAATTTCTTCCTTTAGCCAAACAAAAGTTTTTCCGCATCAATAATGTTTCGAATCCTTCAAAATCAAACGAGAATTTCAAAGATAATACTTTCTCGCAAATGTACTCATTTACCCTTAAATTTGTCTCGTTCTATACAAAGAGCTTCTGAAGTAGCAGCGGAAACAGCTTCGGTACGTTATTTTATAATAAAAATTATCTAGAATCAAATTGTTTTATTAAAAGTTATCATTTAATAGGTTGAAAAAGTCGAGCATGGTCGATTTTACTATGATAATATATACCCTCTTAAGATAGGGTCTTTTGATGTTCGGCATTTTCTTGTTAGGTCGAATAGAGATAGGCTAGAAAAGAAATTGAAAGCAGGAAGATGGATTCCTGCTGAGGCTGAAATGCCATATAAGTTTAAAGTCGAAGGTGTAGAACCTAGGTATTTAATTGAAATATATTCAAAATTCATGTAATAATAATTAATTAGAAATTTTCGGATTATTATATTAGAAAAAAGGAAGGTGGAATGTTGGTTAAATTTACTTTTCGAGTAGATCCAGTTCAAAGAGAGAAGGCATTGGAGGAAATAAGTCAAAATGTACAGGCTTTTTTGAAAGACAAAAATATTATACCATGGTTCAACGTTCGCCCAACCAAGGCATATTTGGTCAAGGTTTTATATATATATATTATATCTATATTCTTTGTGGTAATTTAATAATATATATATAATGCTTCCGAGAATTAACCCTTTTCATCAGGGAGAACCGTTTATTGAAGATTTAACTAATAGATACCCTGCAAGGTTAGAGAGAAATATATATGTTTATATGATTTATTCAATCTTTCAATATATTAATGTGTTTATTCAACGTACAGCCGTTTACGTATTGAATTTCAAGGACCAGATGTTTCAATTGTACGGGTTATCTTTATATTTCGTATAACAAAATTTACTAGATGTTAACCAAACTGAATTATCTTACCAGGAAACTCTTTATAATTACCTCCGACCATATGGCATAATTCGGGACATAACTTTATTACCATCATCTTCTAAAGATCTTCCACGATACGTAATGGTACTATACTCGAGAATGCGATCAGCTACTAGTGCCAAAAATTGCGTACATGGAGTAATTGTGAACGGCACAAGATTGAATATTATATATGATATGCCTCTTGTAAGAATTTTATAGTAGTCAATTAACAAATAATATATTATATATATATATATATTTTTTTTTTCAAATACATGGTAGTATTCATTTCATTTACATTGATATTGGGAAATCGAATAGAAAACAAATCAAGTTTATAATTGGATGGCAGCTCATCCGAGGATTTCGGTGAGTTATTTATTTTTCTGAGATATTCAAACATTGTTATATTTGTATTTATATACTAATTTGTGCTGCTTTAAAGGTTCCACTTATTGCTGCCTCAATTGCTTTCATAACTTATACCATGTAATTCATTTATTGTCTTTAAGTTTCAATTTTAAATATAATATTATTAGGCAATTTAAATAAATTAATTAAAACCTATAGTTTTGACCCAATCCGCGTCTTCTTCATAACATCAAAAGTCACACAACGGTTCAACATTCAGGAATATCGTTTGTATCAATGGCTTAGGAAGGAGACAATTGATCGAGTAAGGGCTCTTCGTGAAACGTCCGAAGACGAAGATGAATCTTTCGCTGATCTGAGTGCTTGGAAAGAAAGAGAACAGGAAGAAGCTAAATTGCTAAATTGGTTAAAAGAACCACCAGGTACTTTTTTTTATGTAATGTCATGTGAAATGATTTCAATAACTGACTGATATATCAATTTAGAAACGTTTATTGTTTTACTTGGTCCAACCGGCAGCGGTAAAAGTGGCCTGATTAATAAAGTTGTACAAAAAAAGAGGTGACCAATTTATTATTATTATTATTATTGCATTAACAATTATCTGAATTAATATTTTATTAATAGAAATAAAGTATTTATAAAATGTGATGTTATCCTCAATTCTCGGGATGAAAACGAACTTGTCTTAAAGTTAGCAAAACAAGTGGGATATTTCCCTGTTTTCACTCTCTTGGTTACTCTTTCAAATTTGATTGATGGATTTGCCAGCGCAACTATAGGGCAGAAAACGGGTATTGATAATTTTTATTGATGAAAATCTTGTTTAAAGTTTAACCATTTAAAGTTTTTATTTTTAGTTGGGTTTTCTTCAACAACTGATACTGAAATTAAGAAAATCCTTGACGCACTTGCAATTTCTTTGCATGATATCGCACCTGAATCATTAACCAAGAAGTCATGGTACAATCAGAAAAAAACACACGACTATCTTGAAGCTCCTATAGTTGATTCTTATGACCCGGCAGAAATTCCTATTATAGTAATTGATGCTTACATGACCAAGGATAAGGAAAGTCACGAGTTATGGGATCATTTGGCAAAATTAGCTGCTTTACTTGTTGAAAATAGGGTTGCGCATGTAGTGTTTGTAAGTTCAAATATAGGAATTATCAAGCATCTAAGTCGAGGTAAGTGTATTATTTAACATTCTATCATCCTAAGTTTTTTAATTTAATTTTATACTTTTTATTTTAGCTCTTCCAAATAAGTCATTCCATTATGCTGTTCTTTCGGATGCCCCACATGAAAGAGCCATTAGTTTGGTAAAGCGTCATGTACATGATAAAAACCTTGAAGGATTGGAAGAAGCCGTTGGTGCACTTGGCGGGCGGTTAACGGACTTGCGACTCTTTATTAATAAAATACGTAGCGGACAAAGACCAATTGGTATTTAATTGTAATGTTTTATTATTTTTATATTATTGCTACATCATTTAATATTGTATTCTCAAATTCATTTATAGATGCGCTGCAAGATCTTGTTGTTAAAGCAATAGTTGATGTCCGTAAACTTGCATTTGGTGACGACAATGAAGACGCAACAACCATTCCTTGGAGTGGCATACAATTTTGGGAAATAATGAAAAAATTATCGAAAGGGGAAACTGTATGATATTAAATATTTTATATCGTTTTGTGAAAACTTAACAACAAAGATAATATTGGTATTGATATGGAATTTGATTTTTATAAATAGGTATCCTATGATTCTGTGAAATTTTCACCGATATTTGGTGGAGACGATACTCAAATTAGAGCTATGGAACAAGCTGAACTAATATCTATTACGCAGTTCAATGGTGAGAACTAACTATGACAAGATATTTCTATGATAAACTCTAACTAATTGACCAATTGAATGATTTGAATGAATTTAGGTCGTCCAAATACTATAAAACCTGGGAAACCACTTTATCAAGCGGCTTTTGCGGAAATTAGTCTTGATAGATTATTTGCAGCAACCATGGAACTTCAAACAACTCAACATCTTTTATCACTTGAGAATAATAAGATCAAAAAGTACGAGGATGAACTTGAAAAATTGGGATCATTATTTGTTAAAATAGATGGTAAATGGTTATTTGGTAATGGTAATGTACCGGAAACCGTAGATCATCGAGTGAAATTCTTGTTATCGTTATTGAAGAAAAGTCATGTACGCACAGAAGCATATCAAAAACAAATCGAAGAACTTAGAAAAGTGATTGCATTAGGATGATTAATAAAGTAATTTAAATTAATTTAAAATTTAAATAACAAATATGTCTTTAATTAATTGAAATTTTTTTTTTAAATCAAGTCCAAAAAATGATAAATATTTGTTATAAAAAAATTAATATGAACGATTTAATAAGCGTGTGCAGTAGAATTATCTATTAATCGTTTTTCTAAAGATTCAGCTGCAAGAACGACTTCGGGTGGTGGCAAATCTTCAGCTTCATAAGAAGATAACAATTCTGAAGAAACACTTGTATCGACTGTTGGTGGCTATAGATAGATAGTTATATATATAATATTAGAATCAGAATCCAAACATTTATTTGATCAATGAAAAATAAAAATCGATTACCTTAGGGGCGGAGGGCAAAATCAATTCTTTTACTTGGCCGACCTCTGAACCAGTTTTCTTTTTAAAAAGTTAGGTTAATGAATGTATTGAAAGAAAAAATTTTTTGATATGTTTCAATTACCTCTCCAGTAGGCGTATAAGTCTTTAATATTTTTATATATAATTTTTGAACCGAGTCTAATTTATTATAGAGTTTTTTTATTTTCAATATATTTTTTTTTTTTTTAAAAAAAAAAATAAACCTCAATAAATCGCATTTACCTTTCACAGGTGCAGACGCAGTAAAATTGCGTGAAATGAGTGTAGAACGTGATAAACGAAAAGTTTGCCTTAAATACCTCGAAGTTAGTGAGCTCATTTTTGTTTTTCTTTCTCTTTTTATATAAATTTCTTTTTTTGCAATTCTCGAAAGTTGAAAACTAGTTTTTATATTTTTATATTAATATCTAACCATCATTGACCCTGCATCTTGATTCGTGAGGGTTATCGTCACATGTTTCACATTATTACATTCCAATATAATATTTATTTTTTTTTCATTGAACATTTTTTCTTGTTAAATTTTTCACAATGTCAGAGTCCGGAAATGAACAAAGTCTTGCAAATGAGCTTAAATGCAGAATTCTCGAAACGCAAGACAGGAGCAGGTATATTTTCAAAGCAACCTTAACGAAATTTTTTACCTATAACATATATTTAGATTGTTTTAATTTAACACAGATTAAAAAAATTATTGACAAAAAGGCTCAAAGATTGTGGATGGAAAGATAAAATCAAAAAACTTTGTATAGGTTTGTTTGTATTAACGTGTAAAAAAAAAAAAAAATTCGGTTATATGTAGCTCATGTAAAGAATGCATGCAAATTTTATAAAATTTAATTTTTAACTTAGATATCATAAGAGAAAAAGGAATTGATAATATCAAATTAGATCAACTTGAAAGCTCTATATTAAATGATGGTCGAGGTATATTTATATTTTATTAATTTTTATTTTTTATCATAAATCGTGACTTCTCATCTGATTGGTCACACAATAATTTATTTATAGAATCCGTTCCGGTCGAAATAAAAGTAGAAATTTTGCAACAAATCTCAAGTTTGTTGGATGTACATATATCCCAACTTGAGAAAAATATAAAATGATCTTTTCGAGATTGCATTGTTTTTTAACCTGGACTATTTTATTTGTCCAATATTTTCGGTATGCAATAAAATGTCCAGGAAAGTTATTATAATTAGACTTTACCTTACTTTACTTAAATTCCCGCAACCACTTTTCAACCAGACGATTTTTCTGTATCTTCTTCAAATGAACAATGGTTACCGAACTAAAAGTTAAAATAATATGTATACGTATTGCTCTTTTCTTTTTTTTTTAAAAAAAAAAAAATAAAATAAAATAAAATAAAAGTTTTAAAATTATTACTTGAAACGATATATACTTACATGAAAGGTTACTGGAGGTCGTAATTTGAAATGGGATTAACGTAGAATTCAAAATCGTTAACCATAACGAATGTTTTAAGCAATTCCTTTTGGAAGGATATCGTTACTATAAATAAAGTAATTACTTCTTTGTGGAACAAAAGATTCTGGTCGTGTGACAAGTGGCTGAGGATTACTATACATTATTGCTGACATGACGGCATCAACTTCTTCTTCGGAATCGACCATCTCCTCTTCCTCTTTCTCGGGGATAAGCAATTTTCCATCTTTCTTTACATTGTCTTGTTTATTACTTTGTATACCATTATCTGTGACATAAATGAAGTTAGATAATTTAATGATAACTCCATTTTAGTTCATAATTTTCGTGAACCTACTTTGAGGGCGTCCAATAGATTTTTTCTGATATGCAGCAAGCAAAAGATCATATGATTGTGATCTACCCAATACACCGCGTTTCAAAGCCATCGAGTGGCTTTTACAAGTCAATGAACGTGCGCAAGGTGTATTATTCGGTGGAACAATTACTCCACATTGCCTGTCCAAATCAATAGGTCCTAAATTGAGATTAAATAATTAGGTTAATTAATTTAAAAGTTCAATTAATCTTAGTTACAACCTTTATTACGTCCCGTGGTTTTCTTTTTTTCTTTTTCCTTTTTAACTTTTTGCTTTTTTTCGGAAGTTTTAGCCGCTACCGGAGAATTAGGTCTTTTCGCATTAGGTAATTGTTCAGTTGCTTCAGCTAAATCACAATGATAATGTAACGTATGCATTAATACGGGAATTCAATAAGGTGGATACGAAAAAAAAAAAAAAAATTTCATATATACCTTCAGAGGCTACCGACTTCTTACGTTTCTTGCTCGAATGACTCGAAGTATAGGTTTCTGCGATAGGAGTTTTCACAAATTTCTCGACTGTTACATCATTAGCCGAAACATCCGTAGATGCATCTGCATTTTGAGCAGCTTCAAATTCTTCAGCTTTTATTTTTTCACAATTGACTATAATGAAGAAATGTAAATTTAACATGTCATTATTATCAACATGAACGCAGTTGAACAAGAAATTAAAGTACAAAATACCAGAATGGTCAATGAACCCGTATGGTAAAACTTTTTTTGAACATTCTTTACAATTTACGATACCTGATTCGTCTTTCAAAGGCTTACAACCATATATTTTCATATGTTTAAATAGTAGCTAAGGAAGATTAATTTTTTCGTTAAAAAAAAAAAAAAAAGTATATATATATATAAATATTCCACGTAAAAGGATATCATCATAATTAAACCTGGATGCGGTAGAGGAAGCGTTGACTTCTCCATTTGAAGTTAACACAACGTCTTCCTCCTCATTGACCTCATTGTCTTCAATGTCCTCATTGTCCTCATTGTCCTCATTGTCAACGTTGTCAATACTGTCAACTAGACGCAAATAAACGAAAAAAGGAAAATTGATACTTGTTTCATAAATTTAAATTTGTTAACACAATGATGTGTGTTGAAGAAAAATATTTCATACAGTCTTCGCTCAAAGTAGCATTTTTCAATTCTTTCCAAGAAGTATGATTCATAACCGGTTCTTCTAGTGAAGGAACATCCGAGGAAACATGGAAAGTTGGAAAAGTATCTTCGTCTTTAAAAACTAGTACCGTTTCAGAAGAAACTAAAGTCATCCAGCCTGGATTCATAATTTTAGAACTAAAACGAGCAGAAATATGAATTTTTTTTAAAAAAAAAAAGGCGGTATTTTATTATGAGTGTATGTACGATAAATTTGATACGACTTTTTATGTATATAACAATAGACATTTATTGTATCAGAATAGAAATACGATCCACAAATGAATAAAGATCTTCAAATCAAATTACTTCAGAAGGGCAATATTTTTAATATACTTTTTTATGTAGGTTCACAATGTGATCAACTGGTTTTGGTTTAGATTGTTATAGTTTAAAATTAAAAAAAAAAAACTAAAATTTACAAATTTAGTTTAGCTCGTTCCTTTATTTTTTTTTTATCTTAAAATTAGCTTTTTAATAATAATTTATTTTCGTTACTTAATAATTGATACAATATAGTTATAGAATAATAAATTTCAATTATAAATTTAATAGTTTAATCATTGTTAAATCAGTTTTTTTTAATCGTAATAAATCATGATCTTCATCCATTAAAAGGAACTTATAGATCTTCATTATTGAAATCTGTAATTCACAATTGATGAGGATACGGATCTTATTTGAATTATCTTATTGAGTTAGAAGCAAAATCAATTAATTAGTAGTCATGGAATGGAATAGTTTTACATATTAATTATTATTCACCTGCTATAGTTATGAGAATTACCCCCATGACTCATCACTTCGTCCTTTTTTCAGCCTTCAATTTCCTTCTCGTCTTTCCTTAGTCTTTCTGTGCCGACGAAGAAATTTTGTTGATCAGACGTAATGCAGGATGACGATCTTCAGAAATTCATTAACCAATAAAATCGGATTGACAAACGAATATAAAAAGCGCTTGGATTTGAACATTTTAGTTTTCGCGTTTTACGTGTGAAAACAGAGAAAAAGAAGAAATGCCGTGCTAGTTGCTTATTCATTATTGAGATCTCATGATACATGTTTGAATCCAAGGAACTAGTAAGATATTTTGCAATATTATCTTTTGTTTTATTTGATCGACTTTCTTTTTTTTTTACATAAAGTTAGAATGTTTACTGTGTAAATTGTCACCTCAAAGAATCAGCTGAACCAACAGATGTCCGTATGTCATGTTTGTAAATGCGTCTTGGAGGCTTTTTAGGTACCAGAAACTTCGAATTTAGACGTTCGTGTGAATGCAAAATTATTAATTGTTTATTTTTTTCGATATAGAAAACCCTGATAATGGTACTGAGCTAAAAAGTCCATCCGTGGTCGAAGTGAGCGCTGTCCTAAAAGATCAGTTGCATGTTCAGCATTCAAAAAGGATTTGTAGACTAGGAAACGGGAACCGTTGTTGAGTCCGGACAATAAAAACAACAAATACACTTCATCAATGGAACAAAATCTAGTCAACGTGTTCGAAAATCCATGACTTATAAATTTTTTAGATGGCTTAGCATTAGACGGATGCTTGTCAATCAATAAGTACCAAGCTTATATGATCTCTAATTATTTACTAAAACATACAAGATTTTGAAATTACGTTGATGGTCCCAATGCGACAATAAAATCTTATAAACGTAAATAGAGATACCTTTCTATTCAAATAGTTTATTAAATTTAATTTTTAGATATATTAAAAATTATTTATCATTAATTAGTAATTTTTTGTATTTAATTATAAAATAAAAGTTAAATATTTTATGTAGGTATATGAAAAATTATAAATTAAAGTTAAAAAAAATATGTGAGTTTAAAAAAATTATTACTATTTAGGAGATAATATTTCTTAAATATTAAGAATATTTGTCATTATTATTAGTTTATGGTTTTAAAAGCATATTACACAAACTGAATTGTCGAATATTTATATATTTAAAATATAAATTTATAATATATAAAAATAATAAAATCCCTTAATTTTTATTTTAATTTAATTGTCCTGAATGAATTGAAGGACTATATATTGAGTAAATTTTGGTCATGTGAGCATTTCTCTGTTCGCCACGTGATTTTCGTCCAATAAATCGCTTAGGACTCGTTTCCTAGTATAATATTATTAAAACAATGTTTGTATAGTCTAATATTTTATATTTAAATTTATAAAAAAAAATTTTTTATTAGTAATAATTATTAATAATAATTTGTTTAGATATAGTAACAGTTAAACATAATTAATTAATAGTCATTCAAAAGGTTTTTAACTGATTGATCATTTATATAATTTAACAGTTTTTGACTTATTAGAAAATTTATTTAACTAAATACTCATTATTTATTTTATTTTAATAATATAAGCATAGAATTTATTAAAACTTTTTATATAAATATTTTTAAGTCATTAAATATATAATGTTATCATAAATTTTTATATTTTTTTCAAAAATTTTAAATTTTATTTATATATAATTAAATATATTGTTAGTTTATTAAATAGTTTTTTACTGATTAAAATATAGTTATTCAAATAGATAAAACCTTAAAATCAGTTAGTCGTCTGATTAATTAAAATTGGTCATTAAAATCAGTTAAAATTGATTAATTAATTAATTAGTTAATTAACTAATATCAGTTATAATAATAACCAGTTATAATGATTATGATTATAACTATTTGTATCTCTAATTTGTCATATTTCTACTTTCTAATTATATCTTTTATATAAATTTAATCATTTTATTGAATGTATAATATAGTTAACTAGTTTAATCTATAAATAAAATTATGTAAAGTATTAACATTGAGTATGAATTTTATTTAATATTTTAATTATTATTATAATTATAATAATAATAAAAAAAAAAAAAAAAAAAAAAAAAAAAAAAACTAAACAGATTTATATAATGAATTATTTTTGAACTTAAATTTAATAAATCTTATAATTTAAAAAAATATATATAAAGAAATATAGATATATTTCTAGTATATACATGTTTTTATAAAAGAATAAATATGATATTTATATCAAAATGATTTGTTAATTCTTAGTATAATTGATTTAAATTCTAATAGTATTAGTTGGTAAATTAATCTTTTAGATAAAAAAATGCTATAAAATATTAAGCATAAATTTCTTATTAAAAAAAGTATATTTTGAATTCATAATAAATAAAATCAATTTTTAATAACTTTTTAGATTTGTATTAATATATTATTATTGGATTAGGAAATTGATAGAACCGATGTACTTTTATAAAAAATATTTTGCAGAGTTACAGAAGGATCAGGTGTTGGTAAAAATAGTAACATTTATATAATTGAATAAATTTTTCATATAGAACTGAGCCATGTTTTTTCAGTATCATAATAATTATCTATTGCATAAATAAAATAAATTATTTATGTTACAATTCATGAAATCGAATTTGAAAATACTCTTAATTTTCAATTTTGCACAAATGATAATTTCTTAAAAGAATTTTATATTTAAGAAAGCCATTGTTACAGTAAAGAAATTGGGTTCAGCAATTCAAAAATCATTAATAATATAGGATGTCATCATACAACTATTATGTTGTTACGTAAAATCTACAAGCCGAAACTTATCACATACGACAAATTGAATACTCAATTAATTAAATATCTCATTTAAGATATGTTACTAAAAAACTATGGCTTAATTATCGTATTAAAAATTTACTCAATGAATATTGCAAGCAAAAACAGGAAATACAGAATCAAGGGGTGACAAACCCGATGATACGACCTTTTTTAAGAATAGGCATAATGAGATGTTGAATGTTGAGAGTGGAAAATGGGAGTTTATTGAGAAAAAAATACAGGAGGTAAGACTTGTTTGATGCTTGTAGATTATAATATTTAAAATTACTTTGTTCGTCACTAATTATTTATTAATATAACCGATCATATAGTCTATTTCACGAAAAGTACCAAAGTTCCATTGAGTGGAAATATTCATTTATACTCTATAAGAAGTAATTCCCAACCCTAGGTAAGTTTATAGAGTATGAATATTATTCATAAATAATTATGTACCAATATCAAATTTTACATAATAAATATCATTCCTCATATTTAATCAAAACAAGATTTGTCCCATTTACGTTTTCTTAAATATTGGTTTCTCCACCCTTCGGCAACGAGTCGTTCGCATTCTATAAAAAAAAAAAAAAAAATTCAATCAAATCAATATCTTATTTATCAGACAAGAATAATGATTTCAAAACAAATTCGAATACCTGTCAATCCAATATGATTATATTGATCCGATTGTATCATCCTGTCCAAATTAATTGTTGAAAATGTATCTTCGCATCTAATTAAAACACGGAGTTTGTCTAATTCCATTTCAAATCTTTTTTCATGATTTTGATAATAACTTTTTGGGCTCGGAGTACTTTTATCATCCGTGTTAGAACATAATCTCCGTTTTTTGTTTGCCGTTGATATTGAACCTCGCCCGCGCACCTATGAATACACACGCACATATATAATTACCTCTGGGTATAATAAATATTTTAAATTTTAAAGGTTAATTACCTTTTTGCATAGACTTCTGATTTTGCGCGGTTTTTCGAATAAAGGAAGATTTACTAGATTTGCACCTGAATAATTATAATTTGAACTAAATGGATTACAAGTGAAAGGGTCATTTTCATTCAATGAAGATGAGCCTTTTTCACTGCAGTCATTTTTAAATGGTGATGAGCCCCTCACTTTAGCCACTTCTTTTCCAACTTGTATCATTGGTTTCATGGTTATTGGATTGATATCACCAATCGCAATACCTAAAGCGATATTTTCATCTATATTTCTATTATTATTTGAGTTAGGATATATTTAGAAACATTAATTATAAATAAATTAATAAATAAATTAGGATACGGTCCAATATAATCTGTATTAGGTGAAATGTTCAAATCTTTAGGTATAGGATTCAGAGTGATTAAACGTTCAGTTTCAATGTCAAACACGCGTTGATACAAGAATGCTAATTCTGCTTTTTTAAAATCATTTTCATAGTTTGGTGGCACCTTTATTTTATTATTATTCTTCAAATATTGTATTACCTATTTAAAATGTTCATAATCTTTAAGTATATTAAATAAATAAAAAGAAATATACTTTTTTTTTTACATTTCAGACTAACCTTTTCTACGGTTTTATATTTCTTTAGATATTTGTGCGCAGATCTGAGACCGATACCGGTTATCGAAGGCAAATAATCACAACCCGCTAACATTGACATGTGTCGAAAACTTTTATCCATCCAACCAAGCAGATTAATCTCTTGTACGTCTCCAAATTTATCCCGACATATTTCTATTCCTTCCCCATTGGGTTCCAATTTGTATATTACCTAAAATCAAAATTTGAGATGTTTAAAAAAAAAATTTGTTCAAATATAAATATATAAATCGAAATGATAATTTTTTTTTTTTTTTTTTGCTATTAACATACAGTTCTACAGCCAAAAACTAGTAAATCCGAATCTTCTGTTATGATGGCTGCTATGTATTTCTTTTTCTCAAGATAAGCCAGTTGTGCATCAGCTTCATAAGGTGCAACAACGTATGCTACATTTTCTGCGCGTAAAGCCTAAAATTTATAAGAAAAAATTATTGTAAACATTGTTAAAAAGAAATAACAATAATAATTAATAATACCTCAATGAACTTGTAAGCCATTTCTGGAGTAACACCAATACTTTTCTTGAAGAATTGAAAAGATTCGTGAAACCGACCTTTTTTATAAAGTTCTTGTCCAATCCTTCGGTATTCTTGTCGCTTTCTAATTCGAATCGAATAAATCAATATGATAAACGAGTTCCTTATGTATTGCAGAAAAAAAACAAACCGTTCACGCATCAGTTCGGTATTATTTTTGGCCGGCAAATATCCTCCGTCAAAAACTATAAACGGTTGAACATTAAATTCTTTCAACATTCTGACTCGTCTCATACAGAACTCTACATATCTTTAATTAAAGAAACGTATTATATGTATAAAACTTTTTTTTTAAGGTAAAAAGAAAATGATACTACAATATATAACTTATTTACTTTGTAGTCGGTTTATTCCAAACTAATTCAAATAAACAACTATGAATTCCTTTATGTAACCAACAATATGCGTCCACTCCTACCGTATTCCCTGCATATTTTGATATTGAAATTGTGGTTTGTATGGATTTTAAAGTTTGAAGAAGAGATTGAATACCCATTTTAATAATTGAGTCTTTACAAAAACACGTGAAAGTTCGCGTTTTTAAAAAAAGGCATTGGCATATGCTACATATATCCGGATCTAATGATGATTACGTCATTCATCTTAAATTTTTTATACAGTATATCAATCCATGTTTTGTAAAATATTTTTTTTTTAATTTTTATAACTTTTATTAGAAGCATATTTTTACGAAGTGGAAAATGACCAAACTTTAATGTAAAAAATGTTGTTTTACCGTGACCTGTAACACTATGGTGTGTGAAATACGAGGATATAAAGTAGATATTTTCGTCTTCATATCGAAAAATGTATATCAGTAACTTGCATCTCTGCGTTCTATTTTGACTATTTTTTGTCAAAGAAAAAAAATTCAAATCAATTAATATCAGGACAAAGCTATGAAATTTCCTTCCCTATGCCTTCTTTATTTTTTATAAAATAGCAGTGATGACGAGTCTGAACATATGTTTAATGAAACACTTAATAATGATAATATTAGTGATACAGTCAGACCTCTCTAAATGCACCCCTTCGGGACCGAGTAAAAGAGTGCATTTAGAGAGGGTGTGCATTAATGG